GCCTTGAACACTGCCAGGGATGGGGCAGCCACAGCTTCTCTGGGCACCCTGTGCCAGCGCCTCAGCACCCTCCCAGGGAAGAGCTTCTGCCCAAGAGCTCATCTCAATCTCCCCTCTGGCAGGTTCAAGCCATTCCCCTTTTCCTGTCCCTCCATCCCTTGTCCAAAGCCCCTCTGCAGGTTTCCTGGAGCCCCTTTAGGCACTGGAGCTGCTCTAAGGTGTCCCCTTCAGGAGCCTTCTCTTTTCCAGCTGCCCCAGCCCAGCTCTCTCAGCCTGTCTGAGAGATTACCCTGAAGGGATTACCATTTGCAGGGGGTTGGATCTAGATGAACTTTAAGGTCCCTTCCAACCCAAACCACTCTACTAGGAAATGGGGTGAGACAAGTCCCACCAGGATGACCACGGTTGTGGTCCATTGCATGCTAGGAGCTGACAGCTATGGCTCCTGGCTATAAGACAACCTGCAGTGTGATATGAAGTCTGAAGGGTGAGGAAGGCTGCTTATTTTGTAAGACAAGCCAATCCTGGTGGAACACCCCCCCACCCCAAACCCAACCAACCCTGCACAAGCCTTTACACACACAAACCTTGTCTTCATTATGTTCCCTCCCCCAAGTCTTTGTGTCATCACAGCCAGGACAGTACTACAAGAAGAGTATTTGAGCTAAGAATAGCAGATTTCCTTGAGAAATGCCTTTGTTTATTTTAGTTTTGTATTTTTAAGTTGTTGGAGCTTTGGTGACCTTTTCCTTAAAGGTCCTAAAAGAATGGCCTGGTCCGAGAGTATTGTAATACAGAGAGTAGTTGTGAACTGCCTTAATTGTCTGGCTTCTTCCTTGTGCCCTGCAAGGATTTGTTGGCAAAATGGGAGGAAGATAGCATAAAGTGGACATTCCTCTGAGCTTTATTACTGTTTCTGCTGGATTCGAGGTAGGGAAGGATAGTGTGGCATTTGCATTCATGCTGTTTCTAGGGTGCCATTGTAATTTAAATAAGTAGAAGGCACTCTGTGTATGAAGGAATATATGCAGAATATATCTTTATTAAAAGGATGAAACACAAGAATCTGTTCAACATTATATCTCACTTATTGCCAGGGTAGTGCTGATGTTAAGTCATGTTGACAGATGTAGATGGAAAGAGCCATTTCCCTGGGAGCATAACTAAGATCAGCAGAGAGGAAAGGATGGAGGAGCTCAAAGGATTGAAAGGTACAAATGCCAGGAATGGAAACCCGTGATTCCGAGTTGGTCGAATGATGCTCATCATAGAAAACTGCATCTTTGCAAAGATTTGCCTGCTGGAAAACTGTTGTGCACAGGGCTTTTTGGAGGGAAGGTTGTTTTCAGGGGTATTTTAAAGGTATTCTTTGAATCAAGGGAATGGACAGGAGTGGGAAGGGATGAATGAAGGGGGACAAGGGCAGAATGATGATAAAGACTGAAAGAAGGAGCTGATTTGGAAGAAGAAGTGATTAAAATATAATGAGACACTGAGGCACAAGAGGTAAGAGGATCAAAGCTGTGTTCTTAAGACAGAAGGAAGATGTGTATTTGGGTATTTCTTTCTTGTGGGTAACCAGTGCCTGGTAGCTGTCTCACAGGAAAGTTGTAAGTAAGACAAAGCAGAGGGAGTTTTACTTCTAGCGCAGCAATGATTCCCAAAGTAAAATTACAGCCTCAGGGAGATTCACAGTGCAACAGCTCACACACTGTTTAAAAAAGAAAAGAAACAACCCCTTTTTGGCAATCAAACAGTCAAATCCAAACTGTCTTTGTGTCAGAGGACCCACTGATACTGACTCAAGCCCTGGCTTGTGTCTTGACAAGTGTTGAGACAGAGCTTTGCACATAATAGACTGAGTTTTATGTGCTTATTTTACTTCGGAGCCTAACAGAGTGTATAATTGATACTGAAATCAAGTGTAGAGAGGATTCATATAGTTCTATCATCTGTTCTTTCCACAGTGGAGCATGGATCCTGGTTGGAAGGCTCAAGCTCTTGCTCGATTCTAGTTGCCTTCCCCTGCTGATTGTACAGTGCAGGTTGTTGGCTAATCAAGGGTGGTTTCTAAATCAGGGTTCTGTACCCACAGAATACCCTGGTATTGTCTCATCTGTTTAGACAGGCCACCTAATGCAGTATCAAAATGCTGAAACAGGAGGGGAAACAGTTTCTTGGAGCTTTCATGTGAAGGATTCACATGAGTTCACCCAAGCCAGGGTTAGGGAAGCTGTGCTTAAAGAACTGACCTAAACCAGTTCAATTCTGTAGGATGTAGATGGCAGAAAAGATGTTTCTGTGGCAATTAAAATACATGAATCAACGTGTTTCTTGGAGACTGGCTGTGACGTGGAGAGTGTTGTTCAATGTCTATGGTTTGTAATACGTCCTGAAGATATTTGGAACTAGATGATCTTAAGGTCGTTTCCAACCCTAACCATGCTATGATTCTGGTAAGAGTTATTTCAGCTGTGGGTTTATAATAGCTCACAAAGGATTAGCCAGGTTAAGGTTTATTTCTTCCTGAAATAGAAATGACTAGGATCATATATGAAGGTCTTGAGCATCGTGGAGAATGTGAACAGGGAAGGAGTGTTCAATGGTTCTTATACCATAGTTCGGGGGATATCCTCAATTTTCATTGCATAGCAGTTTTGAAACTACTAAAAGGACATTAATATTTGCATAAGGGTAACAGGCTGTGGTGCTCCTCACCACAAAATGGTTGTGAAGGCCAGAAGTATAGAGGGATTCAGAAAGGAGTCAGCAAATGCAAGGGGGAGAAGTCCATGGGCTTGTTAGGCTCAGAGACATTAGCACTACCTTACAACATCCGTATTGGACTTACTGCTGGAAGCTGGTACTGCCAGGAGAGGATCATTCCTCTTTGAATCAAACCCAGGCTCTTCAGCCTAGCAGTTCCTAGGTACCAGTTAATAAATGTGCTGCTTTGCCCTTCATATCCTGGTGGTGGACTTCCCCGAAGCTCTGAATACTGAGATCCCAATGTTTGGAGCCCATATCAAAGATCTTAACCCAGAGAAACATCACTTTTTAACTCGTTAGATTAAAACCCAATAAACTGACATGCTTGGAAATGGAGGTAAAGGACAGGGCTCAAGGAGGTCCCCAAGAAGAATGAATCAGCATCAAAGCCAAGTAGAGGCAAGTCTTGAGGTGTCTCCAGTGGGAAACGTGACCAGCTTGCTGTAGGGGAGAAGCTTTGCACACTTCACCCCCCTGCCTGCTCCAGATCTTCACTGTTTCTTGTGGAAAAGGGAGGAAATCATTCACTCCTACCTCTTCTTGTACTGCTTTTGAATCCAGCTTGCTCAGAAGACAAGTGCCTGGTTTGGCTGCTCACAGCTTTTCCACTTGTCAAGATGACAAGAGTCTCCCCATGGACTAGAAAGCATCGAATGCTTGACATGTTTGACTTGAGCTTGGAAATAACTCTCCAAACACTAATGTCTGGCTCCCTATGACAAGTATCTGCTAGCTGGGATCTGTTGGTCAGGAGATGAAAACAGTGAGATGATTGATGGAGTTGCAGGTAGAGGTTTATATCTCACCTGCAGCCAGAGCTGGCTCAGTGTCACTTGTTCTGTTGTTCAGTGGCAGTTGGAACTCGCTGTGTTGTCAGAAGAAGTTAGTTACAGGTGCTGAGCTGATCTCTCCTGCAGGTGAGCTCAGGGCCCCCCACTACAGGAGGCACATTGAGGTGCTGGAGGGGGCCAGAGAAGGGCACAGGAGCTGGAGCAGGGCCTGGAGCACAAGTGTGATGGGGAAGGGCTGAGGGACCTGGGGGGTTCAGTGTGGAGAAGAGAAGGCTCAGGGGGGACCTGATCGCTCTCTGCAACTGCCTGGCAGGAGGATGGAGCCAGGAGGGGGCTGGTCTCTGCTCCCAAGGGATGGAACAAGGGATGGGACAAGAGGAACTGGCCTCGAGCTGCCCCAGGGCAGGTTTAGGTGGAGCTGAGGAACAATTCCTTGCCCAGAGGGTGCTCAGGCATTGGAACAGGCTGCCCAGGGCAGGGCTGGAGTCACCGTCCCTGGAGGGATTCAAAAGACATGGAGACATGGTGCCTGGGGACATGGGTTGGTGGTGGCCTTGGCAGTGCTGGGGTAATGGGTGGACCTGATGATCTTAAAGATCTCTTCCAACCTGGTTGATTCTATGACTCTATGTATAAAGACATCCTACACTGTTGACCCCTGATTAAGGTTTAACCTTGACCATGGGCTCAGGCTATGAACTAAAATAATGTGATGGGACCTGAGAGCTAAGAGTGTGCAGGATACTGCTTGGAAGACAGCTGGATACACTGGATAGGTGGACAAAGAATTGGACTAGTCAGGACTGGTATGGGTTTGAACCACTCTTCATCAAAGACTGAAGCTGATCCTGATGTGGCAGGACAGGGGCTGTCTCACGTGGTTGTGAGTTTTTGAGCTGGCCCTTGTTGGCTTTCATCAGTTGAAACATATTTCTATCTGTACCATTCCTGTAATGACTGGTTTGATGTCTGATCTCCATGCTTTGAGCTAAATCCTCCTTACCCAGTCCCCTAGTTACATGATCTGCAGCTTATGCTTTGTGGTTGCCACAGAGGCAAAGTGAAGCTTCATCTCTGTGTTGTGGGACATGTCAGCACTGGGCACGTGGTTTTCTTTATGTCTTTACCACAAAATTGCCACTTCTGGAGGTTATATAAAGAGATGGGAGGTTGAAAATCCTTTGACTTCTCCTCAAATAGTCTACATGGTACAAGAGGGTGGAGATGTCTGGAGCTTCCAATACTGTTGCTCCAATCTAAAACGTTGTTGCATCCCAGTTTGACCTCAGTTACCCTTCCTATGCATCCCACTTTGAAGGCTGGGTGTAATTCACACATTCCCTTTCTTTTCTACTCCACTGCTTTGATTTTGACTCGGGTTTTTGAACTGCAGAGGAGAAGGTTGAGCCCCGACAAACCCTTGTTTGCTTCTTCCCCTTTAGGTTCCTTAGAAAGAGAGCTTGGACGGCATGCAAAGTTGTGACATATCTGCAGACAGCACGGATGATCCTCTCAGTAGTGGCCTACGGGGAAAGCGACAGCCTCGAATAGTGATCATTGGTGCTGGGCTTGCAGGTCTCTCAGCAGCCAAAGCGCTCCTGGAAAGCGGCTTCACGGATGTCACTGTCCTTGAGGCGACTGAGCGCATCGGGGGCCGCGTGCAGAGCGTGAAACTTGGTAAGAGCAGCTTTTGGGGAGCCCTGGGCTGGGTTTGCTTTGCTCTGCTCCCAAGGTTTAGTGCTGTCAGGAGGTTAATTTCACCTGAGGAATGTGCTCTTCCAGCCAGAAGAAGGTTGGTTGCGGTGGGATGTTGGTGCTTTTGGGGTGGGTGGGTGAATCTGAGCTGCTTTGTGCATCTCTTTGGAGGGAGGGCTGCTCCAGACTCTATAGAAAGCGGATGTGAGTGGTTGTTTTCACTCACACAGGGAAAGCTCAGTGTAACAGGTCTCTGATAACTGTATCAAAGACAGTTTCCACCAGCAGTTGGAGCTTGACTTTATGAGAACCCATCAGTAAATCTCCTGGCTAGTGAGGGGCTGGTTCTCCATGACTTCCATCACTTGCACAGGGGCAAGCTCCAGGCTGTTCTATTTCACAAATAGCCCCATTCATTTCCCTACAACTAACTTACTGTGCAGGGAACCACCCACTATGAATCAGGCTGCTGGAAAAACCTTTTCAATGTATCCTTTTATCCTGATTTGCAGCTTTTCCACCTCTGGAGCTTCCTTTCTCCATGTGTAATAAGGGTGCAGACACTGAGTATTTTAATCCAGCATCAGTTGGGCTTGTGAAACCTCTCAATGCAAAACTGTTTGGCCAAACGTTGCCCTTTGCAGCACAGTTCTCAGGGAGACGTTCCCTGGTATCTAGAAGGACATTGCCTGTCTCTGCAGGAGTCAAAAGGCTCTTCACTTCTACTGAATTGCCTTCCTGATCTCAATTACCTAGTTCTGTTTCTGATCCCACTCTCTGTGTTTGTTAACTCTGGCCTCTTGCTGCCCTCCTTTCTATTTATGTGTAGGTGCTTGCATCACTGACTGTGTTTTACTCAGTAATAAACAGCAGTGTCCTATGAACTTGCAGAAGGGAAATGAATGAGAAGGCAGTCAGACACATCTAATCTCCAGGGTTTGGATAGGGCACTTTCCATGCTGCCGAGACTTGGCATAGAGGTTGGAATGGGAAGTGTGTCCTTTACTCACAATACACTGGATTAAAAATATCCTGGATCGTGTCTGCGAGAGGAGGGAAGTGTTAAAGACCTGGAATCTTGAGGGAGAAATAAATCATGTTGCCAGTGCACCTGTGAAAATAGTTTTGTTGTAGTGGCATTGAGACCAATTCTCTCACCTTTGGACACCCTCACGTGTAACTCAGGTCTTTGCCTTTGCTGGGAATATGCCTCCTGTTTGTCAATATTGCTTAACTAACATGAGGCAAAAGCAGTCTGGTGGAGATCTTGCAGCTTATACATGTTATTTGCAGAGCAGAGGACTGGAATCTAAAGTCTTGATCTTGTAATGTCTTTCTTAAACCCATCTGTCTTATATTGTACAAACTCTCAGAGTTACCCTGTGGGTATGGACTGCAGTTCTCTCCCAAGGTGGGTCCATGTCCTGGCCCCTTGTGTGCTTTGCAGCTTCACATGCCCTTTAGCTAAACAGTTTTAGAGCTCTGTGGGGTGGTGGAATCTTCACAAGCAGCATACTCAGAACCTCCTATTCCCTGCTATGAAGGCAAAGGGGCAGCATGGTCCTGGGCTGCATTCTCTTCTCTATTGCCTGGAGCAGCAACATTGCACTTTGGGCATGTGAGATCTACTTGTTTCTCAGAACAGGCTAAAGCCTACAAAATCCTGTTACAGAAGTGGTTCTTCCAGGTCTTCAACATGGGACCATTTTGATCTGCTTGTCTGGGATACTAGAATCCCAGGTTGAAGGGACCTCAAGATTCAGCTGTTCCAACCTTCCCAGGCACAGCATGACCTACAGTAGATGTCCCAGCACCCTGTCCAGCCCAATCTTAACAGTGTCCAACACTGGGGAGTCACCACTTCCCTGGGGAGATTATTCCAATGGTTGATTGTTCTCATGGTGAAAAATGTTCCTCTTGTATCCAGTGGTAATCTCCCCAGCAGTAACTTGTGCCCATCACCCCTCGTCTTTCCCATGGGACAACTTGTCAAAAGAGAGTCTCCATCTGCTTTGTAGCCCCTCTTTAAATACTGAGCAGGGTGATAAGATCTCCCCTGAGCCTTCTCTTCTCCAGGCTGAACAGTCCCAGCCTGTCTAAATGTCATTTCAATGTTTAATTTCTCTGGGCACTCCCCTGGCTGCACGCTGGACTGAAGATCTGGTTTAAATCTTCAACAGAGCTACAGTGGCACATTCTTGGGGTTGGATCCTGACACTTCCACTCTCACTGAGCCATGCTGTGTCTTGCAGGGAACAGAATTTCCCCTCAGCTGCACAGAGCATCTCCCTGTGCTATCTATCTGCCCAGTCGTGGCAGCACTGGTTTAGAGGGGGCTGAGCCCTGGTGCAAACCCCATTAGTTATAAGAATCATAGAATCACAGCATGGTTTGGGTTGGAAAGGACCTTAAAGGTCATCCTTTTCCAATTAGATCCACTCAGCACAGGGGAATAGTCTGGATTTTCAGAGGTTTGCTTCATCATTTCTAGCTCAGGTGAGGTAGCGGATTGGTGTGTTTGTGGGTTGTGTGTTTCTTGCACATGAGCTAGAACATCTGTATCCACTGCAGACATTCCATAAGAGGATGCCCAAGGAACATCCAGGACTGCAAAGGGAAATGTGCAAGTTCCCATGTGTATTCAGAAGTCCCAAGTGTTCCTTTGGAAAACTGCTGGCTTGGTATATTGTTGTGCATAGGCCTGTTTTGACTGCTGCTTGTGTCTGAGTGGTTATTCACTGGATAGGAAGCAGATTCTTTTCTAGTCCTTGTTGGAGATTCATTAGAAGTTGATTTGTATTGAATTGATTTAGTATTGAAACTAAAGTCTTTTAAGGCCCTGGAAGTAAATTGGTTCTCTCTGTTTAAAAAGGTGTTATTTAATTTTACACTTCAATAATTCAGCATGTAACTTACACCAGGTAACAAGTGGCTTATCTGCTTGCTAGTGATGATAGTGAGCTTCTAAGTCTCACAGGCAAGAATGACTATTCCTAATTTATTACTATTTCATTATATTCCACACTGAAAACAGGAGAACTCGGAACACATCATAGTGGTTTCCGAGCACCAAGACAGTGAGAGGAAGATTTCTTTCTCTCAGAGCTCAGATGCCCCATGAATAAGAGGAGGAGAGCAAGCTCCTGACATAGAGCAGTATTGCTGCTGATGATCTGGCATGTGAGGGCTCGCAGGAGGATTGCATTAACAAGTGGCTGCCACATGCAGTATTTATGAGCTCTGTACCTTTGGCTGCCAGGGTACACCAGTTGCTTCCACTGCTGGGTGCTCTGGGAGTGTAGTGGAGCTTGGGACACCTTAAATACTCACACTTGAAGCTGTTTTCTCTGAAGCACATGCTTTGTTTTAGGGACACGTAGAAAACTTGTGCTACCCAGTCCTGTGAAGCCTATTTTGAAGGGCAGTCGGTGTGTTCCTTAATGAGGAGGTGGTTGTGTTCTTCAAAAACAAGGTACATGGAGCTTCCCTTGGAGGCAATGTCTCAGAGCAGCATTTCTTGGAGCTCTCACCTGTTAAACTTGACTGCATTACAGCAGAGTGCTGCAGTGTCGTTCTGCCTCAGCATGTATTTACATGTTAAACAGCGTGTGATGACTGGTAACTGCATGATCCTTTCTTCGTCAAGCAGGATCCTATTAACTACAACCAGGCATTCACACACCTCTGCAGTGAGCTGCACAGCATGGTGCTGCCTTGGATGCTGGGAGAGCTCAGCTTTGGCAGGCTGTAAACCAGCTTTGGAGTTCTGAGAATCTGTAAAACTGTGGGTGCAGGACATGACCCAGTCTTTGTTTTAGCATCTCCTTTCAGCTACTGAACATCTCCCTGTGCAGCCTGGCCTTGAACGCTGCCAGGGATGGGGCAACCACAGCTTCTCTGGGCACCCTGTGCCAGAGAAGAACTTCTTCCTCAGATCCGTCTCCCTTCTATCAGGTTAAAGCCATTCCCTCTTGTCCTGTCCCTACAGGCCCAAAGGGAGAGAGTGGGGCTGACCAAAACCCTTTGTGTTTTGCAGGCAGAAAGTGTAGGTGATGAGGACTAAATGCCTTTGGTGTTCAACCTGACAGTGCACCCTTTTGAAGAACCTGATTTGAATTTTCAAAGGCATAAAGAATAAAATAAAACCTATTTACTCATCTGAGGAATGGAAATGCATTTTTGTGTTGCAGTTAATCTGAGGTATACTTGTAAATAACATCCATTTTTAATCAAAGGGCAAAGGTCAGCCTGCAGGCCAATGATACTATCTCAGGGCAACCCAAATTGTCCTGCATCTCCCTGCTGTAGATGCTTTTCTTCCCCTGTCTTGGTATCCATCCCCTCCTCTTGAGTACAGTGTTTGAAGTCTTTAGGTACTCTGTTCTTTCCCTCCAACTCTAATATTTATGCAAGTATCCTTGTATGTCCTTTTTGCAGTAGTGCAGTGAGGCTTCTTAGGGCTCCTTTCCTTCCTGTTAGTGCAGGGCTTGTGCTGTGACATGAGCAGTTCATCCTCTGCTGGCTGATCACGTTCTTAAGTGCAGGTTTAGAGAAGATGATTTGGAAAGGCCGAGTAGCAAAGATAGAACAGTTGGCAACAACCATGATAAGCACTGGGAACCTAAGAGATGCTGAATTTCACCTTAAGTGTCAGAGGTGTGTCACTGTGATGTGTTTATCTTGGAAACATCCCATCCTTCTAGCACTATCTGAACTTGTACCCTGAAGAAAAGGTCTGAAGAACACTGTCTAACAGAGGAAGCTCACTTAAATGATGTTCAAACTTGTGTTGTCCTTGGGCATTTGGTCTGCTATTGCACATGTCCATTCAGGGTTGAGTGGGACCAGCTTTTGGGAAACTGGGCTTCACTAACTGTTTTGCTTGCTTTACTCTCCTGCAGGGCACGCCACTTTTGAACTGGGAGCTACGTGGATTCATGGTTCACATGGAAACCCGGTCTATCATCTAGCAGAAGACAATGGTTTACTTGAAGAGACCACTGATGGTGAGAGGAGCGTTGGCCGGATCAGTCTTTACTCCAAGAATGGGGTGGCTTATCATCTTACCAACAACGGGCAAAGGATCCCGAAAGATGTGGTTGAAGAATTCAGTGATTTATACAACGAGGTTGGTGTTCAGCTGCTTTGTCAGGTTGTACATTTGCCTGAAGCAGTAAGAAACCTTGACAGTTCCAATGTTCCAGGTACTGGACAAAGGTAGAAAACCAGCAACGTCTTAAATCAACAGTTAGTTTGCTCTCATCTGCTTAAGTCTACCCCATTCGATTGTGATGTGGGATTAACTGTTGTTAGGAAGAACAATCTTTCCACGTTTGTCATCACTTTAATCACTTGAAGCAACTATTGCTGAGGAGACCCAGTGATTGGCTTTAGAAAGTTGCTACTCAATTAGAGGAGTCAAGGAGGGATCAACTTACTAAACAAAGTAGAAGGCAAAACCTTAGCAACAACCAGCTAAATATTGTAGCCCTCTGACATGTTATTGATGTTATAAATACCGTAGTGTGCTCTGTAGTGTGCCAAAGTCAGTGCTGTGTCAGTGGAATTTCAAGTTTTCTTGCATCAGAAGGAAGGGAACATGTTTTCTGGTAGATTCAGACCAGTGTGGGCTTCAGTATAAGGTTATTTTAACTTCTGATCAACATTCAGTGACGTCCTCTTCAGTTCAGTGTAGATGAGGGCCTAAATGTGACAGAAGAGCCAAATGGAAAAAGAAAACCAAACAAGTACAAGCACAGAACCTAAAAATACTAAATAGAAGCCTGCAAGATGGAAATGAAAATGCATGGTGAGTGGAAAGATTAACCTCTGCAAAAAAAGCAGTGAGCCAATGTTAGACTAGGACAACAAAGGCCAGATTTGCTTTCATGTAACTCAGCCCTGCTGTTGTCATCCTGGTAGTTCTTTCAGAGGGAACATGGGGTTTCTTACTGATTTGAGTGTTGAATGCATGAAAGACTGATATTAGTTCTGTCTGCTCTCAGTAGGAAGATTTGGCTTTAGGTAGAGTGAAGTGATGGAAGGAGCAGCTCCAGTGCCTAAAGGGGCTCCAGGAAACCTGGAGAGGGGCTTTGGACAAGGGCCTGGAGGGACAGGCCAAGGGGAATGGCTTGAACCTGCCAGAGGGGAGACTGAGATGAGCTCTTGGGCAGAAGCTCTTCCCTGTGAGGGTGCTGAGGTGCTGGCACAGGGTGCCCAGAAAAGCTGTGGCTGCCCCATCCCTGGCAGTGTTCAAGGCCAGGTTGGACACAGGGGCTTGGAGCAACCTGCTCTAGTGGAAGGTGTCCCTTCCCGTGGCAGGGGTTGGAGCTGGAGGAGCTTTAAGGTCCCTTCTAACACAAACCAGGCTAGGATTCTAATGATTATTATTTTGCATGTCTTTTTCATGTCACTTACAAAGTACTTGTAGAGGGATCAATGCAGACTGTTTAGTCCTCCAGGTAATGTGATCTCTCAGTTGATTATAATGTTGGTTGGTTATAAAGTGGTATAAAATGGAGCAAAACATTGTGTTTTTCATCATGCTGTAGCCATGTCTAAAGGCTTCACATTTTCATCTGAGAATGAACTCAGAATCATAGAATCATAGAATAGTTTGGGTTGGAACTTCACCAGTATCTGATGCTTGGCTAACCACACACTAGGTTCAGGTTACTCTTGCATACTTTATGCTTAAAAATATGTCTGTGAGCATTTGGAAAGCCACCAAAAAGTCACTGTAGCCTGTAAAGAATTACCAAGAATTGAATGGGGAGCAGAAATGGCTTTTTTGTTTGTTTGAAAAGACTTTTGGTGCTGTCCTGGGACTCTGAGCTGGAATCTATGATGAGATGGCACAAAATCCTTCCACTTTTAGAGAGGGCTTGTAGGAATTTCGAAGAAACCTCATTATGGAAGGAATTTGGCGACCCATGGCAAGGAGGGGATTGTTCTTGGACAAAGGTGGAGAGAATTCATCTGAACATCTGCTTGAAGACAGAACCAGATCCAGCCAGTGAGATGTGCATGGAGCAAGGTGAACAGCAACTAAGAGTAGAGAGGAGAGAAAGAGTAAGTGAAAATACTGCAGTGAGCAGCATTATTTATGTAAATGGAACACCACCAAGCTGCATGTAGTGCTTGGTGAGCATCCTGCCTCAAAGAGGATAAGAAAATCTCCAGCAAAGGGAAGGTGTCAGAGGCAAGCAGAAATGAGAACACAAAGGTGAGAGCTAAGTAGCTTCGAGATACAGCTGATGAGATAAAGGCTATAACAAGGTGCCCAGTGTTTGAGAAATTATTAATTTGGCAAATCTACCCTTTCTTTTAAAGCAAGAGAAAAGGGGGCAGCCAGTGACAGGAGAGAACAACACATTAAAAGTTAATCTTCTTTACGCAACACACAATTAGCTTATCATTGCCACAGGGTATCTTTATCACTAGGAGATAGAAAAGGCTTTCACCTTTATGGATAGTAAAGAGGTCTGCAGCTACTCTCTGTCATAAAGAATATGTAAGGGCCATAGTAAGCCAAGAGGAGGACATCAGCCAGTTCCTAACTGTAGTTGCTGGCATGGTACTTTCACTGTCTTAAAGTGTGCTGGTTGCAGGAGCAGTTGAGCTTCTTGTCCCAGCCTTTTTGGGGTGTCATATTGGGCCATCTTTGGGCATCTAAGACAGCTGACTGTGTTTTCTTCCCTGTGCTATGCAGGAAAAGTGGGAACTAAGGTGATTCCTTATATATTCAGGTGATCTCCTGAGCATCTCCAGTTCAAAAAGACGCTATGAAGCATAAGTGCCCCATGGATGGGCAGTGAGGAGCATGTGCCACGGGCATGTGGCTTTGGGAGCATTTTACTCTGGCATGAAGTGCAGAGAATGTTTCCCTTTACACATACTGAGTCTGCCCTGGTGCATTTCTGGCTTGTATTTTGTTGTCCCCCATGTCCTCAGCCTTTTTTCTTGCATTTTCATTGAGTCCATTCCATCATTTTATGTTTCATCCTGGCTGGCCAATGCTCTTTCTTTAACTGGTGATGAAATGGGTGCTGAGCAGGAACAGTAGGACTTCAGTCGTCAGTTCTGTTTGTAGCCCCAGTTATATTGTCATCTGGACACCAAATTCAGTGACTGCCAAGTGCAGAGGGTCTCCCTTGAGGGTTTCACTTGGGTATGTGGAGTCGCTGATGCTGGAGCCAGGAGAGGTCTGTGTGTGTGCTGAGTTTTCCTGGTGTGAAAGGCAAAGCTCCCCCAGTACCTCCAGAGCTTTGCCTCTCTAGTTCATTTGGAGAGTCCTTATGCTTTTTCCAGGCACGTGTCCAATCTTTTTTGGCTGCTGCTTCTACTTCAAGTTTGGCTTCTTTTTGTTTGCAGTAGCCTGAATGTTAATAGCTGTAGGGATGCCTCACAGGAGCCTGTAGTTATGAGGAGGCTGAGCAGTAAGAGTGTTCAGCTCTTCATTTCGGTAGCAGGAAGAGCCCTACAAGAGGCTGTTGCACTGCATTGAAGTCAGTCAAGATCTATCAAGAGCTTGCAATTGAGGTGACTTGATTCCTCCTCCATGAGAGCACCAGCAAACTGAGCAGTGCCTGTAAAGAAGGTCTCCAGTCCTGCAGAGCCACTACCTGGATTTCCAGCCACACGTTGCCAAGTGATGCACTGTGAGAAGCAGCATCGAGCCTGCTGTTGGCAGGACAGCTCTCCAGCCACTGCTACTTTAGGACATGTGCTGTGTGGGGCTGGTACTGCTCAGGTTCCTCACCAATCCATTTGGTTAGTCTCTCAAAGGAAGGAGGCACCAGCACTGGAAGGTTCCACAGGGTGTGATGTCCATGATTCATATTCATAATCTTCCCACCTTCCTCTCCACTCCTGCTGGGATAACTGGGGGAATGCCCAGAGAAGCTGTGGCTGCCCCATCCCTGGCAGTGTTCAAGGGCAGGTTGGACACAGGGGCTTGGAGCAACCTGCTCTGGTGGAAGGTGTTCCATGGAACGGGAGGAGCTTTAAAGTCCCTTCCAACCCAAACCATTCAGGGGCTGGGGGAGGATTTGGACCTCTGCCTGCTTACACCACATCTGCACAACCCTCAAAGTGATGGAAATGTCATCTTTGAGGGTAACATCTGCACCTTCAGTGTCTGTGTGTGCATATAACTACTGGGAAGATGTGACTAGGCAATCCATCTAAGAGTTGCTCTTCTGTCCCTGCTAAGTCCTCATGTCCCTCTCCAAAGAGGTTATTTAAAGCCAGCTCCCAGGTATTAGTGAAGAGTGGGAGGAAGGTTGTGAGCTTGTTAGGTTAAATGCAGTGAAAAATCACCCTGCTTTGCCTTCCCAGGAATGTCACAGTCCATCAGCCAGCCTGGTACAGAAAACGTGCCTATTTTTACTTGGGCTTTTCAGTAAGGAGGTGGTCCCTGAACACCTGCTTCCCAGGAACCCTGCCTTGAACAATCAGCTCTCTCCTGTGTGCTGCTCAGCTTCTGGGGCAGGGATGCAGCCAAAGAATGACAAAGTTTTCCACCCTCCTCACCCCCACCCTGTGCTGGGCTTTGTGCCATCCCCAATTAAGCTACAGCGCCTTGTGTTATCGTAGAAAGCAGGACCAAAGGGCCACCGAGTGTCACTGTTCCCTCCCTGCCCCTCTATTGCACTGACAGATGTCTGGCCTGGTAACAGCATGGACCTATCTCCAACAGGGTTTTTGGACTGACCAGGGATTAAGTCACTGCAGTTTTTAAGCCAAGTGTGAAAAAGACAATGCTGTGGATCGTCAGCGGCACTGACAGGAAGGAGTGTGGATTGGGATGTGCTTTCCTGACCTCCTTCAGTGCTGAGAAACTGCTTTGTTTAGATTTGCTCTTCCTAAGAGCCTGCCTCGTCCCGTGGTGGAGGAGCACGTATGTAGTAAACCTGTTGTAGGTGGGAGCCTGTGCGTAACAGAGAGGATATCGCTAGTAGACCCATGTTCTCTGCAGAGAGCCTGGTTGTGGGATGCCCCAAAGTTGGTCAGGAAGAAGATGAAGGATGTAATTAACTCCTTTGAATTTCTGACCTCCAGCCCCATTTCCCTGCAGGATTGTGTGTAAACCCTCACAATTAGGGAAGGAAATCTGCTTGGAATGAATAGTCACTTGAGATGTTTTGTGTCTTTTGCTTCTGCTGGTGCTTCTTGCAGAGAAGCATCTGGGACCAGTTGTTCTTTTCAAACCCAGAAGAGCTTTAGGGTGAGAAACAATCAGGTCATTGTGCTGGGATGTGTTTGCCCATGGTGGGAGCTGGGAGATGATGGAGTCTCTCCTTTTTTTCCTTCCTTCTTGTATCAGGTCTGTGATACTAGAAAAGGGACATGAGGCTGGGCTGTACATAGTGTAGGTCTCCTTGCTGATGGGCACGGTGCTCTCAGTTTGGATGCATGGGTATTTTGTAGGGTTAACTAGAAGATCAGCAGAATCTTTCAGGTCATTCTGATGCTACTTTTCACCAGGATCTTTGAGGTAAAGCCCACTTGAACTCCAAATCTCTTGGATCCCTTCTGTCATCCCATCATGATGAAATGATGGAAGGAGAATGTGTTTTCAGATCTCACAAATGCTGTTCCCGTTGTTCAGAGGTGGTCCCATAGGCGTGATGGTGCTTTCTGTTATGGTGAGCAGTTTCCCACCAAGGGGAGGAAAGTCTAGGTAACTCCAACTCCAGACAGTGCACTTCTGCTCCTGCTTCATTGGAAATCTACCTTAAATGAAGGCTTCTAGTGAACCTTTTCATTAGTTTCTTATGTAGTTTGCTCCATGTGTTCATTAAAGAACATATTTTGAGTGTCTTTTTGATTCTTTCATTATGCCAATGTGTCTCTTAATATAGGACTTGCTGTTGTTACTCCTTCTGCTTCTTGCCTACAACAGCTTTGCCTTCTGTTTTCCATCAGATGGTTCAGCACTCTCCAGAATAGAAAAGTTAGGAAGTAACAGGGATTCTGTGATAAAATACTAAATCTTAATGGTGATTATACTTACCTGCTGTCTGATTGATGGGATGACTTATGTAGGAAAGACTTAAACCTGATGTTTACAGCACAGAGAACTGCATTTCTGCTCTTTTCTCTGTTGGGCAATGAAGAATACAGTGGTTAATAAAACCAAAAGGCTCTCTCAGCCTTCTGGCCAAATGGTAGCTGGGTTTTAACACAGCTTTGCTTGTCTTGTGAAGTCGTTACCTGCTTAGAGCATGCAATCAGCTTATGGAAGCTGAGCTGTGTGGTGCTGACACAGGGTCTATGCAGCTTGTGCCTCCAGCAAGTGGTTAGGGCCTCAGAAGTTGGTGGACCTGAGAACTATGAGATGTTGAAACTGCCAAAGAGCTCTTGGCATTGGGGAACAGAGAAGGCACCATGTCCTTTCCTTTGCTGGAGGCCTTCATTTCATATAGGACATTGGTCTGCACCTTTCTTGTCTGGAAATCTCCTCGGAAAGGCTGTGTCCCAGTCAGTGTCTGCAGTTCTGGTCACCAGTTCCATTCATTTGCCTTGTGATTACTTACCTGGTTTTGTAGTTTTCCTTTTTTTTTCATTCTTTCACTTATTTTCTTCAGCAGTTTCCTCCTCATCCCTTACTTGTCCCTTTCTACTCACCTTCCTCCTTCCCTTACAGACATGCTTTCTGTCACTGCTACCACTGCCATGCATTTTTCCTCACCACCTCCCTTTCCTCATCATTCCCTCTTTTGCCTCCTCAAATTCACTTTATTGCTAAAACCCAACAGAAAATCAAACTTCTGGGAAGCATCAGAGCAGGACGAAACTAACCCATGGTGGATTATCCATAGCAGCAGAGAATGGGAAGCCCTAGTTGCCTTTGAAGAAGAGGCTCCCACAGCTTCTTACCAGTCATTGACTTTTGAGTTGAACTCAGCATGTCCAACTAATCTGTCTCCAAAAACAGCATCATAAGCCGTAGTCAAATCATCTTGGACAGGAAAAACTCACCAAGCAGGGATATTGCCTCTCTGTTTGTACAAAGAGTACTGTGCGCCCCAGTGGCATGATATAAATGAGAAGTTGACTCATTCTGGTTACTAGTGGGATGAGTTGTACTTCTGAGAGGTATCCTTTGAAAGCTTTCCTGTGTTGAAAGATTCCTCAGAGTTTTTCCATGGAAATGAAGGGCCATGATTCCATCTCAGGCTCTTCTGGTGATATCACAGGCAGAAATAGTGGTTACTTCAGACAGCCACAAGCAGATGACCAAGGTGGATGGTTGTTTTCTTGCTTTTAAGTAGCCTTTAGGGTGGAAAACTGGGGTTAAAAAGATGTCAGGAAGATCTTCAAAGAACATTGACTTATTAGAAGGGGATTTTTCTTGTGGGTCCTCCTCAAGCTGGTAGGAGATGTCATTGTTTTCCATGAACCTATACCTGTCTTGTGCTCAACAAGTAAAACCTGTGTGCATACAGAATTCCTCTGCTAAGCCTGTGTTGGTTGCTTCCTAATTTTCAGTGGATAACAGAAAAGCAGCTATAAAACTGAATTCCTGGTGGGATCCTGGGCATTATTGCTAACTAATGGAGAGAGTGGAAGGGCTGGTTCCAAGTTAGAGCAATCAAATATGTGGGCTGGGATTGCATCTGAGACGTTGAAGTGTGAGAAGAGCTGGTGCTTCATGTCAGATGTGAGGATGCACGTGGCTCCTGTTGCTGGAGTTCATTCCCTTTGGATGGAGACTGGTGGCTGTGACATGGTTGAGCAGAACCAGAAATCACACACGGCAAACCCAAAGCTGTGTGAGGTGCTCTGCAATATGCACTTACTTGCCTTACTGATGCAGCTGCAGCATCTAAACATCTGGTTTAACAACTGGCTTTAACTACTGGACATGGAATGACTGCCTCAGCTGGTGTTCTGCAAGTGATAGGATGGACATGCTTGAGTTAAAAAATAACTCATAGTAAGTTAATAGTAACTGGGCTGTTGCAGGTGAGTAAGGGTGGTTATCTTTGCCTGCAGGGAAGAGTTGCTTCCTGCCTTCTTCTCACCATAGCTGTGGGTGCACCTTGACATGGTGTTGGAGCAGAGCACACAATTAGAGTCGGCAAGAGGCGGTGATGAATGTACTGGGTTTGGATGGAGGAAAAAGCATCCTGCTTGGATTCTGCTGTGAATCACCTTGTCCATCTTTCTGCCCTGTCTCTGGCAGGTCTATAACCTGACTCAGGAGTTCTTCCAACGAGGTAAACCAGTCAATGCTGAGAGCCAGAACAGTGTGGGTGTCTTCACACGGGACGTAGTGCGCAAGCGCGTCAAGGCCGACCCAGATGACTCAGAGGCCATCAAGAGGCTGAAACTAGCCATGATCCAGCAGTACCTTAAGGTATGTGTGTGCATGTTTTGTTTTAACATGAGAAACATAACATGTTTTAAGAACCTCAGGCATCTGGCTAAGCCTTGCCCATCACTGGGGAATCGCTTTGGTCTCTTGCAGCTGGGCAGCTTGAGTTTATACTGACAACTTTTCCTCATGAGGCATATCCAAAGTGGCCAGCAAGAAATAATACCTTTACTCTTTTATCTTCTTACCTTAAACTTGCAGCTTTCTACCTGGAAGGGCCTTTCCTAGGCCCTGTTATATTTTCCTGGTGTGATTTAATGTTTTCTTACTATCCAAAGCTACTCAACTCTCAGGCTCTTTTAGTAATGTCTTGAGCCTTACACCTGAGACCCCATAATCCTTCCTGAGTGCCTCTCACTCCCTTCCACCTCTATCCATATCTCAGAGACCAGAAGAAATGTAACTTTGATACTGATAATTTGCTAAAGAAATCCCCAGAAAGCAGTTTGAAGGTAAAGCAGTAAAATCAAAGGTCGATTGTATAAACCCATGTCATAATCATTTTTCCTCAGCTTCCCCAGTTCTTTTTATCTCCTTGATGCTTTGGCCTAAATGAGATCTCTGTGGGATGAGGACTTAATGCTGCATCAAGTGCTCCACAAGTAAAGTGTAACAGTCATTCCTATTTCAATTATAATGACTTTAAAGGCTTATGAAATGAGGCAAGGGAGGCAAGGACCATGCTGTGATGAGGGGAAGTGTACGATATTCACTACTGACAAGTAGAAAGCTGAAGTAAAGGGAAAGATCTAAAGAACCTCACAGGAGGTTGTGATAAAGCTGAGATTTGAATCAAGGCATCCTGAGTGCTGTTCTGGTATCTCAGTGTCTAACCCAAGAGCTTGGGTGTCTCCACAGCTGCCACATACACTAGTGATTGTGTTATCCATGGAACATCACCCATGCAGACAATGTTAGTCTGATACAGCTCTGGTTTTCCTGATGGTTACTTCTGTGGTTGCTACAGGTTGCCACAGCCAGAGACTTATCTGCAAGCCTTGCAAATCCCTTCTCATGTGTAAATACCTGAGAACAACAAAGCTTCTGATGTTTAAGACTATCAGATCGAAGTGGTTGCTGAGAGAGTGAGGATTAACTGGTGTCTCAGGCAAAGTATAGTCTTGGTAGTTGCCTGTTTTTCTCCATGGCTTTTCTCCTTCATGGTTGAAAGAATCAAATAGCAACCACTATTTCTTATGTTCAACATGTGGAGTGTTGCAGCATCCAGGCAGGATGAATGGCCTGTTCTGTGACCCAGGGTGCAGGGTTTGTACCGTGGCCCAGCCAAAATGACCTTGGGTGAGTGCTGGAGAGTGCTTGCTCTGCACTCAGATGAGTGGAACCAAGCAGACTCAGAGGATAGGTCTTCAAGAAGGGATGTGGCCCAAGAATTGTACCTGGAGTCACGGCACAACTGGAGTCATGGGGCAACAGCCAGCAAGAGGCAACCCCTGTTTGTCAGAACAGTCACAGCCTGTGAACTCCTGAGAGCAGCTTTGACTTGTTTGCTTAGCCCAGCACAGAGATTCGTGCCCTGCGCCTGGATGCTCCACAGGGAGAGGGGTCCAGGCTTGCTAGGCTTCCAAAACATGGTCATTAAAGTGTGGAAAGGCCTGGAAAATTGGCCAAAGGGTGAGGCAAGGAATAGTAATGAAATGTAATGTAATTTAAGCCTAAAGTGCTTAACGAATTAGAGCGTGCAAATCATCGTGACTCCGGTGATCTGAAGATTTTAAGATCACTGTGTCCCATGCATCAGTATTATCAGTAGAAACTTATCACAGGACAGGCCAAACATCCTGCCTTTGTTCCAGGGATTGTTGGAAGCTGCAGTTCTGCCTCATACTCCTGCAAACGTTAACCAACAAGTCCTGAATCTAAAGCTTTGGTAATCACATCAAGTGAATCAAACACAAGTGTCTCACATCTTGGCATTTCCCTTTTGTCTCCTTCAGTTCCTTCTGTGTTGGGTCCTCTCACCTCTGGCAGATTGTTAGCTTGCTGATTGCTGTATGACAGCGTGCTGAAAGCTGCAGACAGCAGGAATAGCTGCCAAAAGTTTTTCATGGCTCCTCATGGGAACATTTATTAACATTGGAGAGAGCATCCAATTAACACAGCTCCAGCTTGTGTTGTAGGAGCACCAAGAGGCCAGTCTCTGGCCAGTGGAGTGCTTTTTAGATGATAGAAACTGGTCAGAGTTTTAACCACAAATCATGCAAAAGCAAAGACATCATCTCTGAACTCTGGATGATGCAACCATGGCCAATACAGCCAAAGCTAATGCAGCTTCTTACCATGACAATGATTTCTCTGGTTGGAAAGAAGGCTGAGGATTGATTTTGTCAGGTCCTATGGCCAAACACTCCTTTACTAACAAAGATAACGTGGTTTAAGAGTGGGATTCAGGACTTCCAGCAGCTCCTTGCAATGCTGTGCTGAGGCAAAATGGGTTGCTCTGTGGCAATGTTGCTTTTGCGTTGCTTTTCCCTCAGGTAGAGAGTTGCGAGAGCAGCTCCCACAGCATGGATGAAGTGTCGCTCAGTGAATTTGGGGAATGGACCGAAATCCCTGGGGCTCATCACATCATTCCTTGTGGCTTCATTAAAATCGTGGAGCTCCTGGCCCGCTCCATCCCTGAGTCCGTCATTCAGCTCCGCAAGCCGGTCAAGTGCATCCACTGGAACCAGTCGGTCAGCAAGGAGATTGAGAGGGTGGCTGACCACAACAGTGACCTCCCCGAGGAGGACAAGGGCTCCAATGTCTTCGTAGAGTGCGAGGACTGTGAGTTCATCCCAGCTGACCATGTCATTGTGACTGTGTCCCTGGGAGTCTTGAAGAAGCGCCACGAGAGCCTGTTCCATCCCCGCTTGCCCGAGGACAAGGTGATGGCCATTGAGAAACTAGGAATCAATACGACTGACAAGATATTCCTGGAGTTTGAAGAGCCTTTCTGGAGCTCTGAATGCAACAGCATCCAGTTTGTCTGGGAAGATGAGGCAGAGAGTGAGAGCTTGACTTATCCCGAGGACCTGTGGTACAAGAAGATCTGCAGCTTCGATGTACTCTACCCACCGGAGAGGTATGGCCATGTCCTGAGTGGCTGGATCTGTGGAGAGGAGGCACTGATCATGGAGAAGTGTGATGATGAAACTGTGGCAGAAACCTGCACCGAAATGCTACGTAAATTCACAGGTCAGCCATGCTCTGGTTTCTCTCGTGAGTGGAGAAGGGAGGGAGATGGGGCTGGGGTGTTGAATAGCCACTAGGAAGGAAATGCACTCAAGTCATTTTTAGCTCTTTGGCATTTTATATCCCTTTGAATGGGCTGTGTGTGTTGCTTCCAGCATCCCTCCTGCTTGGGTGTGCCTGAAAGCTATTTATAGAGGGGTTGATAACCAGCTCAGGAAGTGGGGGGCAGAAGTGCTTGAGGATTCCACATCCTCTCCTGTATTTAATCACAAATAACTCTTCAGCAGCTGGAGCTGTCGGGCTCAGTACTCCTGAGGGCTGATCTCAGGGGTGGAAAGCAGCACTTTCAGAGCCAGTGGAGTTGAATCTGTTTAGATCAGCTGAATCGTGGTGGTTGAATCACATCCCTGACTTCCATTCAGCACGAGGCTATATGGAACAATCATTAAACTGTATCTCAATGAATCCATTAATATTAAGAGTTCCCATATTCTGGGTTCCTCACTTAAACCTTCCTGGACTTTGCAGGTTTCACATTTACTGAACACGTATCACATTAAAGGCAGCAGCTGGAGCAAGACAGAATTTAGGTGTATTATACTGAGAAAATCCAAGATGAAATCACTAAAAGGAGCAATACTGGACCTTAGTTTGCCTCCAGTCACTGCTCTAGAGGTTGTACACCTTCCCATGAAAAGGGCTTTTTGTATCTGTGGAGGTCTGTAAGAACCCTTGATGGAAGGCACTGTACCAGCACAAGTGTCAGGTAGCAATACTGAAAGAAACAGTGGTTGACTCAGCCTGGAAATAAGGATTTTGAACTTATGCATAGTTATAAGCAATTATAAGAGCAGCATCCTCCAAGATTAGATGTATTTTAAGCTATTCTAGAGATGAGTCCTGTGATTAAGCTATTTATATCCTCCTGCTGCCTCGTGTTAGCCAAATCTCAGCACTCAGTGGGTTTCCAGCCCTCTCTCATGTTCACTGAAGAAGTTTACCTTCACAAGTGTGGCTTTCCTCTGTGCTTACAGACCATTTGCTACCAGCAATGCAGAGATCTAGAGAAAGGGTTCTGGAAAGTGAGGACTATCAGCATGGCTGGCTATTGCCAAAGGAGGCTTTAGGGTTTAGTACTCTCTTCAAAAACCATAGAGTGGGCACTAGATGCAGAAACCCCAATGCAGTGACCAAAACTGAGTTGTGTTTCAGCTTATTCAGTGTTGGATGATGAACCTGTGGATCTCCTGCAGCCCACAGAGAAGTAGGATGAAACAGTGAATGCTGGATCTGGGCAGCTTCTGCCTCCTGAGCTGTTTGTTTTCAGTGGTGTTTGGTACCCCTACGTTATGGTGCACTGTCAGTACATACATCCCTCTTTCCTCCTGACCTCAGCAGCCCAACTGCTGCTCCACACAGGCATAACAGGAGGCTCTTCTCTTCAAGCCCAAGTTGTTCCAGTGCTGACATCTCCCAGAGCACATAAACAACTTGGTTTGTGCAGCATTTCTTGCTTAAGACCTTTGGTTTTTAAAACTATCTTGATTCATTAGTAGGAATTTGGCTCTTTGGGTCTTTCTTTGGCAGATGGAACATAATCTCCCTCTTCCTTTTTGGGCTTCTTCACTGTTGTTATTGTTTGCATGTGTTGGATGTTCCTCTCTTCCTCCGAGGATGGAAATACGTTGGCACTGGCTCATGGATATGTGCTGCAGTTGCTGTTCCAGCTGGTGCTGCACCTGATCACTGTCCATCAGACTCAGCAGCACTATGGGCTCTGCCTCAGCCTTCTGCTAATCCTGGGTTATCCAACCCTGGGGAATTCCAGACTGAACTTCCCAGGGCCTTGCCCTGCAGTGAGCATTCTGTGCATAAGCTGAGAGGTGGCCTTGAAACTGGAGAAGAAACCTGTTCTTGGAGCACCCATTTCACAACATGTCCCAAAAAATGGTTAGTTTATAGAAAACCTTTTCACAGATCTTCCAGAATAGCCTTGCTGAGGGGCCTGGGTTTATCCTGTTGCCCTTGCTAACCTGGGCCAAGTGCCAGACGGGCTGAAATAGCAGAAGCTCTCCATGAACCTAATGTCTTCTCCACTGATGTGTTTCATTGGGAGTGGGAGAGTGGGTTAGGCCAGCTAGGGGGAGATTGAGGGGGTCACAAAGCAGCCTTCTCTCTGTGATCTAACTGTAGTCATGTCTGCAATGGCTGGCCTCCTCTTGGCACCACCAAGCTCAGCTTTTGAAGTGCTTCCGACCACCCAACTTCATGTAAGTCAGTTAATTGAGTTGGGAAGCTAGTCCTCCCAGGATTCTGAGCTCACTGGAAAGAAAGGCTCTTCCATAAGGCAGTTTAGATCTTCCACACCTCACTTGGTGCTCTGTGTCATCTTCTGAAGCAGCTTTTCTCTACTGAATACAAAGAGAGCCTTATATTCAGTAATGAAAGCAGATAGTATGAACCTTTTAATGTTCACTTTTCCCTTTGTAGCTTCTGTGTTCTGGGTCTAAAATCCTCCATGTTCTTATTCTTCTATTAAAGAATTAATGCATTACCAGGTGGATTTCCATCTTCAGCTCTGTTCTCATAGTCCATTGCTCATGGGGGCCTTTGCTTTGGCTTCAGAGGATATTAAATCCTATGTGAAATGCATTCTTTTAGACTCACACTGAGGTATGACCTTACATTTCACATGCAGGTCAGTGTTGTGGATTATCTGGCTTTGCTGTGGAAAGCTCTGAAGATTGTTCTAACCCAAAAGCCATTCACAACTTCTGCTTTTCACAACTGGATGGCTGAAAGGTGATGTCCTCTAAATCTGCTCTCTTTGTTGGCTAAGCTTGACTCTTAGAAGGCAGTAGTTGTCCTCCCCATCCTCCAGCTATTTCTCTAGAGAGAAATGTCTCTCTTTAGGTTCTGCATCAAATCTACCAACCCCATGTGGATGCCTGGGCTACCCTAATGTCTCTCTGGTGGCTGCAGACACTCGTGTGTGTAGTACCCCAGATCTCTCTTTGCCTTGATGGAATCTTAGATACCCTGCTCTCAGGATTTGGGTGTCTAATTTAGGTCTGTGAACTGATTTTATTAAAGATAGATATTAAAGATTGCTGGATTTATACAACTGTTCATTGGGCTGATGACTCCACAAACCCTTTTTGTTAACATATTTTAGCAGATCTGCGGCCCTACAGGCTGACAAGCCTTCATCTCATTGCTTGTAACACTGTGTTCCTAATGTTAATCCTCTTTTTACCAACATCTTGTTGTCTTCTGTATTGAAAATCCTTGAGGAACATGAGAACAGGCACCAAGCACAGAAGAGGCCTCCACTAGCCCTCTGCAGAGACTCCTTTTATGTCAAGACATCACTGTGTGGCTTTGTCATGCGATGCGATGTGATGGATCACTGCTCCAGCCCTGGTTGGTGCTGTGGTATCTGACAGCTTTCATGGTGTGTTCTCCTGGGCTTTCCCACAGCCCTTCAGACTAAAACGTGATAACTTACTTCCTTGCCACATCTGAGAGCTCCCTGTTCTCAGACTCCCTTGGGCTTTTCACTTCCATCCCAGGCTTTGAAGATTCTTGGAGGAGCATATTTAGAGCCTTTGTTACGCTAAGTTGTTATTCCTGAAACAACATTCAGTTGTAGGATGTGTTTTGTTTGTAGGGTGTATTTATTTGCTGGTCTGTGCCACTGCTATTTTGAGCTGGGGTTAGTGGTTAGACAGTGTTCACAGTGTTCTCTGGCAAGTCATCCAGGTGCCTTTGCTCTGGTTCAGCCTTTCATGGTTGTGGTTGAGACACGATGTTCCTGAAAGTGGTAGCTGACCCAGAGGACTAACCTGCTCCTGATTTTAAGGAATTGAAGGCATGACTAAATAGTTGTGGAGTGGAACTAAATAATGCAGTGCCTGATGAGTCTTTACAGTTGGGTGTCTCCTGCTCTAAGCTGTGAGGGAATTTGGATCATCTTCGTAGCAGGCTAAGCATGCTGAAGGGTTACAGTCAAGAGTAAGAAGCACGCACAGGAGCTGGGCAAGATGCAGACATGTCTCACTACTCTTATTTCTTGTGCTGACAGTCTCTAACAATCCTAGAATTGCAGAATCATTTAGGTTGGAAAAGACCTTTGAGATCATCAAGTCCAACTGTTAACCCACCACTGCCAAGGCCACCACTAACCCATGTCCCAGAGCACCACATCTACATGTGTTCCAAGTACCTCCAGGCACGGTTACTCCACCACTTCTTTGGGCAGCCTGTTCCAGTGCTTGACAGCCCTTTCAGTGAAGAAGACTTAGACTCAGCCCAAGTAGCTGAACCTTGCCTGGACATGTGAGGTTTCTCCTGTACTCTTTGGGATGGGGACAGTGGCTGATGATGGCCCTACCACTGGTGCACTCAAGTGCCGCTCACCTCTAGGTCCTCTATCCTCTTAGCAGTGGAAATCCTACAGCAACCTGGAAATCCTTCAGCAACCTAGAAATCCTACTTCCAGCCTCTAAAGCCTTCTTTCTGTGCCATGTTCATCCCACAAAAATGGGTCTGTTGGATTTTAGTTTCAACTGGGTAGCAGTTGGAGTGAATAATGCAGGTTCTGAGAACTTCATGATAGGTTTTCCTCTGCCCCTGCATAATGAGGATTTGCCTTCTAACACTCTTAGTTCTCTTCCTCTTTGGAGGCACATTTCTCACCAGACTGGTGATCTTCCCCACAATGGAAGACTGCAGCTGAGGTTAAAGGGATGCTGTTTCTGTTATATAGATACTTAGAACTCAGTAATAGGAAAGACATGTGGTTTAGAGCCTCTTCCCTGTAGCCTGCAGGCTCTGCTAGGTTGTGTTCCAATAAATCAGACTGAAATCATGCTGCCACACCTTGCACAGGCATTGCTGTGTTTGCTCATGGCCATGGTCTTACTTCTTGTCTTCTGCTTTCTACCCAGGGAATCCAAACATTCCAAAACCTCGCCGGATCCTGCGGTCCTCCTGGGGCAGCAATCCCAACTTCCGAGGGTCCTACTCTTACACCCAAGTTGGGTCTAGTGGGGCTGATGTAGAGAAACTTGCTAAACCACTGCCTTATGCTGAAAGCTCCAAAACTACTGTAAGTATGGCCCAAATGGGTTGTGTGGCAATAAGACTAGCATGATGCTGGGTGGTGGGTTCTCAGGGAGGGAGGTTGAAAGAGGCCCAGTCTCTGGTTTGGCCTCTAATAATGTGTTTTCCAGGATTTTTAATACCTGAGCAGATTATGTGTGTAGGATTTTACCTCTTTAATTATTTGGAATGCCAACACCTCAGGGATTTCCACATCTCTCTCTGAAATTATCAAGAGCTGCTCATCCATGTGGCTTTGGAATTGTGATGTCTATGTTTAATGACCATTAGCCTGCAGGGACAGGACAGGAATGGCTTTAACCTGCCAGAGGGGAGATTGAGATGAGCTCTGAGGCAGAAGCTCTTCCCTGTGAGGGTGCTGAGGCGCTGGCACAGGGTGCCCAGAGAAGCTGTGGCTGCCCCATCCCTGGCAGTGTTCAAGGCCAGGTTGGACACAGGGGCTTGGAGCAACCTGCTCTAGTGGAAGGTGTCCCTGCCCGTGGCAGGGGTTGGAGCTGGAGGAGCTTTAAGCTCCCTTCCAATCCAAACTGTTCTCTGGGCAGAGGTGTGCTGTGCTCTTAGTGCACCACGTCGGGATGTCATGAGCCAGCGCTCTAAAACACTGCCGGCAGCTCACGGGGATGTGGGAGGACGCAAAGTTCTGTCTCCTTTTAGCCTCGTGTCTGCTTTCCAGTAAGCCCTGCTGAGCTTTCCTGCTTCTCCTCCCCTCGCAGCCAATGCAGGTGATGTTTTCAGGGGAGGCCACTCACAGGAAGTACTATTCCACTACTCACGGTGCTGTGCTTTCTGGGCAGAGAGAGGCCGCTCGCCTCATCGAGATGTACCAGGACCTGCTGCAGTGCCGGAGCTGAAAAGCCCCCTGTTTATGAACACCACCACCACTAACTCCCCATCCCTTGTGCAGGTGTGTGGAGGGATTCCTTTTTAATTTCAGTAGAGCAGCCTTTATCTTTTTCTATTAAAAAAAGTCCTATCTGTTTAAAGAGTTAGTCATCAATAGCTTCGTTTCCGTGTGCTCTTATTGTTAACAGGGAAGGGTGCTCCTTTTGTCTGGTAAACTGTTTCTTTGTCATTTGAATTCTAACTTCACTTTTGGTGCCTATCTATCCTATTTTACTTTTTGTTTTCTTTCTGTATTGTAAGTGCCTTCTATACTAAAATAAATGTTGTAATAAAAACACTGGGTGCTCTGGTACTTCCCAGACACTTCCCTCAATAACTTGTCTTTCATTCATTATAATAATAGGGATTTTCTCCCTTCCTAGAAAATTTGGAGTAGGAGGATCTTAAGGTAAACGTGGATGCTCAGTGTTCCACTTGATCTTAGCTCATCCAAAGAATTCCACATTAGAGTCACAGTCATTTCCCTTGTCCAGATTAGCACAGAAATCTGTCTCACTCTATCTTTAACTCCATGTGTCACCTGCCTGTCAGCTCCTGTGGGCCTTTGTGCTTCAGGAAATCTGCTTCTGATTTCATGGAGGAATTTATCTTCCCTCTGGGCTCTCTCAGTCCATGGGAAGTTGTCAAAGGAATCACAGCGCTGCAAAGCAGAGAGATAAACAGCCTTGATGAAAGTGGTGTTGGAGACTGTGTTCATATCTGGTCTGGGATAGTATCTTGGATTTGAAGGGAGTGCCTCAGTCATTCCCACTTTGTAAAGATTGATCTGGGTCACAACACGGTTTGGATGTGTGGGAATTAGGCTTCTCTTTTAAGGAAACTAAACCAGGAGCACTCCTCTGGGAGCTGCCTCGGTGTGGTGCAGACTGTAAAGGGAATGTCAAAGTCTGACTGTCCTTCAGCCACAACCACATTGTGGAAGGGGTGTTCCTGTCTGTGCACAAGACTTAAGTGCAAAGTCAAGCCTCCAAACTGCCTTGTTAATGCAGATAGAGCTGCAGGGTACTCTGCATCTGGAGTTAGGGCAGTTAATCCAAGTGGAGAAGGCATGAGGGAGTGTGGACAAGAAGGAGAATGATGAGAAGCAGAACTTCCTCTGTGATGAAACTCCATCTTTTGGACATTAACACCTAAAACAGGTGAGGTTTTCACCCCCTACTTCCAGAAAAGAAGGTCCGAAAGTCTGACTGACACCATTGGTGTTGAAGAGTTCTCCCAGGGAGGTCAAAACCATTCCCACTAGTAAGGAATTTTGAAGGAATGTGAAAGCTTGGCTCGGTCACGTTATACATATGGGTTAAAAGAATGTTATCCACAGAGCCTACATATAGTACCTGACATGTCCTTCCTAAATGCAGGTATCCCAGATTTACACTTAGTCCAAATAGAAGCTGAGTTACCCCTGAAGAGTCAAGACCTTAGGATACAGCTTGGAAAGTTCCATTTTCCCTGTGGGCATGTTGCATCTCACACTACAAGGATTTTTACTTTGTCTGAGAGGAGGTGGCACTCCAGAACCTCTGATATACACTGTGTATCCCAATGTTCCTTCCTTTCTGTTCAGATTGGGCCCAGATGTGTATAAATGTTGATCATTTATCATCTCATTTGTGCTTGGTTTATCAACAAGATTCATTCTTATGTTAAACTGTTTCTGCAATAAAGCATAAGGGTGAGGGAACACTGGTTTAGCAAGGATTTGAAGGTTCATTGAGCAGATGTCCTTCCTTCCTTTGCTTGAGTGCAAGCAGCTTCTTGTCCATGTTTGGGCATATTGACCAGTGCTGCTGAACCACAAGAGGACTAAACACCAGTGCCAAAGGTAAGGAATGCCTGGTGAGGTGTGTTCATGAGCCTTCCAGCTGCTCCTCGTGTAATCTGGAGAGCACATCTTCATCTGAAGAGCACCTCTGGCAGTGACACCACTTGCAGTGACCAAGAACTGGTTGAAAATCCCTTCAAATGTGCTTGAAAAAGTGGCTGTGGATAAAATGGGTGAAAAGGGGGAAGTTAACAAGAAAAATCTTTGAAAATTAACCTGGGGTGAATGGATTAATAGAATAGAATCATAGAATGGTTTGGGTTGGAAAGGACCTTAAGAGCATCTAGTTCCAATCCCCAACATGTCCTGATGTGCACCACTGAAACCTTTGGGAAGGCAACCAAGGGGAACCTTCCTTTCTGGGTGGAAAGAAAGTGGTTCTAGTGGAGCCTTGAGGTAATTGCCTAAAGTGGTGGAAATAAACAGTTCTGATTCCACAGTGTCAGAAATCATAGACTCCTATAATGGTTTGGGTTGGAAGGGAGCGTAAAGCTCCTCCAGTTCCAACCCCTGCCACGGGCAGGGACACCTTCCACTAGAGCAGGTTGCTCCAAGCCCCTGTGTCCAACCTGGCCTTGAAACCCATCACATAAATGGTGTTTGTGTGGCAGAATCTCTCAGAACTGGGGTTTTCCTGTTCCAGCAATGTCCTTTGGACTGAAGAGGTCTGGTTAGTGCAAAGCTAATGGGACTCTGTTAGGTGGGAACCATCATGTGCTGTGTTCACGCTACCACTCTGCTGATACAATTCCCCACTGACCCAAATAGGCTTCTTGAAAGAAACTTGTTCTATTTTTAAGCAGGTTCTGGTGTTAGTCACTGAAGCATATGTGTTTGTGTGCATGGTTTGTCTCCTTCAGAGAGTTCCCCAACTGTGTAGGCAAGTATTCCCTAGGACATATGTTCCTTTGATAAACTGCAAGCCCAGGGGCAGCCACACCAAATTCCAGTGTGTCCTGAGGAGGAGGAGTTGGGTGCCAAGTTGGGAAGCTCACAGACTTCACAGATTGTCAGGGTTGGGATCCCCAGAACTGTGTGGGATTAGAGAGAAAGCTTTAGATAACTCGTTCTGGCTCTGAGGCCCTGCCCAGTTCAGCAGCCACAGCAAACCCGGAGCGTGCTTCCCTGGATCATAGCATCATGGAATGGTTTGGGTTGGAAGGGACCAACAACAACAAGCTCTTGGCCTGGATGCACCACATCTTGTAACGCGCTGCCCAGTGGTGCAGAAGACACGTGCCAGGTTGGATGGGGCTTGGAGCAACCTGGTCTAGGGAAGGTGTCCCTGCCTGTGGCCAGAGTTGATGTCCCAGCAGCCAGATCTACTGCATAATGGAAGCACAGGAGAAAACCAAACCTTTTGGGCCTATAAGGCTGTGACCCAGCAAAAACCAAAGGGTTGCTTTCTCCTGTGGCTTCTTTGTCATGGGATATCCCAGAAAAGCTGCTGTGCTGGTAGTCAGGGTTTCAAAGCTCCTATTTCAGCTTTGTGCAGATGATACGACGCTGGTTTGCTAAGTAGGGATCTGTGTCAGTGCTCATTGAATTGATGCCTCTCAAGACACTCAGAATTGAATGTCCCAGGACCATGGCTTTTGGTAGGTGATCCCTCTATGGATTGTTTCTCTGTGTGCTTTGGGTCCTGGCGTACACCCCAGGAGCAAGGAGTGTTGTCCTGCTCCTACCACCCAGTTCCATGGATCTGCCTTTGCCTCGGGAGGTTAAGCTTTCTCAGTGCAACCCAAAGCTGAGGGACAGCACTGAAGGCTGGACTGAAGCTGAAGCTTCACATCTTCTGCTCTGGTGGTGGTTTCCATGCTCCCTTCATATGGGGGCTTCAAGTTAATGCCTCCTGTCCCCACCAGAAAACCTTTGCAGGGCAATTCCACTTCTCTGCCTCTGTCACCACCAATCCAGCCTTTAAAAGGAGGCTCCTGTTCCTCACAGGTGCTCTAAATTTAGCAATTTTTTGCTAAGAGGTGCTTAAAATTAGCAGCAAAGGCCACTCTGAGCATGTGGTGAGGAGGGGTGGCATCACCACTGGGCTCTGTGACCATTCCCTGCTCTCCCTTCTCCAAAGCCTGTAGCAACATCTCCAGAGTGTCGACTAGAAGCTCACTGGAGGGATGAAGGTTGGTACAAAGCAGATGTGGTGCTGTGATGGTAAGAGGGACCTAATGAATACCCTTCAGTGTTTAAAGGGTGGCTACAAAGCAGATGGAGAGTCCCTTTTACCAAGGAGTCCCATGGAAAAGACAAGGGGTGATGGGCACAAGTTGCTGCTGGGGAGATTCCAACTGGACACAATGGGAACATGTTTCCCAATGAGAACAATCAGCACTGGAATAATCTCCCCAGGGAAGTGGTGACTCCCCAGCGTTGGACACTGTTAAGACTGGGCTGGACACGGTGCTGGGACATCTACTGTAGGTCATGCTGTGCCTGGGAAGGTTGGACCAGCTGATCCTGAGGTCCCTTCAACCTGGGATTCATGGATTCTAATTACCCAGAAGTAATTAGAGGTTGGGAACACAGTGTGTGGGAAGGGCAGACATGTCTCCAAAGCCTCACAGGTGATGGTGCCACAGGGGGACGTGCACATCTGTCCCCAGCTGCCCATTTCCTGGATGATCCTTGAACTTGATAGCAAGAAACACTATAAAAGGGGTTGTTCGAACAGTTGGAGTGCTCAAAGCTCCTGTTGTAATAGGAGGGTGGTGGTATGTACCCTTGTGTGTGACCACACCATGTCACTGCCTTGGCTTGTGTGTACACCTCTGATTCTGCTGCTGCTCAGGGCTCGCTGCAGCTTCACCTCCTCTTTCTGAGCCAAACATCCCCTCTTAGAAGCTTTTTTTGTTCTGCATGAGGATGGAAAACTGGGAAAAAGAAGGGAAAACCCAGCATGGTAAGAGCTGCAGCTTTCTGTGGGGTGTCCTCAGGGCTGGCCTGCGTGGTGAGCGGTGGACTTAGTGCTGGGGTAATGGTTGGATTTGATGATCTGAAAGGTCTTTTCCAATCTGGTTGATTCAATGAAGTCCAGCGCAGTAATGCCCATGGGCTTTGGTTGCCTCAGCTGCAGTGACCAGCACCTCTCAGCACATCAAACTGGCTCCTCCAGCACCTCAGTTCTGCGGGGTGAGGAGGCTCTGGGTGTCCAAACCAGGCTTAGAATCACCTCGGAGGTATTAGGTGGGTGCTTGAATGGATGATGGACCAACAGCAAACCAGAACTGTTTGCA